AAAAGATTCTCTCAGACCAAATGAGAGGGAATATTGAGATCCTTAAAATATCTGACTACAGTAATCTGAAATTGTAATAAAAGCTTTTCCATTCTAAATATCATTTGATAAATAAATGCCTCTTGAAAAGTTATCAATATCTTCTTATAACCACATCTACTTGACACCTACATAATATCTTCTAAATCAAAGGAATGGATTAACGCTTGCATGAGTTGTGATGGTGAAAGCAGAACTGCACTTTTACTGTGTCAGTTCCCTTTGTTGCAATTAATCATGGCAATCTTAAGCATTACCCTGTTCACTTGAAGTACGAATGAACTACCTAGTCTGTTCTCAGAATCTTGAATTATGACTTTCATCTCAGGCATTCTCTTCTTATCTTCCTCATATAATTTTGTTCTCCTTGCATCTTTTCTATAATGAGGTGCATGTGAATGAGAGAAAACAGATGTGAAGGCAAGACACATATTCTTTAAGGACCAGCCAACAAGTAAAGAGATGGTACCAACATCAGATCCAAATCACCTTTGTTTTGTACCCAAATACTGCACACCATGAGGCATGACCCATCTAAGAGGCTGGCCAAGGGCTTCATGGAATTCAGTGAAGCCTTTCTCAATCTTAATACTTGCCTATTCTTGATCTAAAATGATGCATAATAGAGCAAATGAATATATTATTAAAAAAGAATAGATAACTTCATGCATTCTCTGATGACACCTGGATTGTCAATGACTACAGATAATGGAACTTGGTGGTTAAAGTAGACGGCTTACTGAAACATTAATAAGGTTTGCAGTGGGACTGAGAATGATGTACCCAATACTTGGATTTAACAGAAAAAGAACTAAAAATAATCTGTTGTTATATAATTCATCTGTGATGCAGCTGCATTTTACTTTTGTATATAATCCCAGTGACACTAATTCAAAAAGGATATAACCAAACTGGAAGAAAGATGCAGAGAAGTGGAACCAAAATGATCAGGGAATTAAAGTATTTTTCCTGCAACTGCATAGATGTTGTAGCAGAAGTATTTGTGCATTTATGAAGAGTATGTAGGAATAGAATGACTATAAATGAACTTTGGCTTCCTCTCTCATAAATCTAGAACTTGGTATCTGCCGATTACAATGATTTCAAGTTAGTTCAAGTTGAGTAAGAGAAGCCATCACAGTATTTCATTAACATAGGAATTTACTGCTGCAAATAATAGGGCTTCTGGTTTAGATACATTTTTTTAAAAAGTATTAGACATATGTATACAGTGCTGCATTATAAACATCCTATTAGCTACAGCAGTACAGCAAGGGAGTGGGGAAAGATTCCTTTCCAAGTAGTCTTACCAGTTTGACACAAAATATGTGTGCTAAATGCAAAACAGTGTGATGATTTCAGAGCTCTGTATGAAGACTGAGCATTTTTTAAAAAAAGCCACCAACATGCTTGCCTTTCAAAGACAGAATAACCATGCCTAGAGGACACAAGGCATATGCATAGCTCTGATCTGACCTAACTCTGCAAAGTGAATTACGGAGGAGGGGAAGAGGGAAGGAACAAAGTGACTGTTATTTCGGTAGAGCTATGCTGGGGGACACAACGTCAAAAACAACTTTATACTTACCAATATTTTGCAAGCTGTAGCAGTTTAGGAGAAGCTAATTTAAGGCAAAGAAACACACTTTTTTATTTTTTGGTGACTGGTAAATAAGAATGAAACCCCAATTTCAGGAATTATCCAAAAATAAACAAGCTCATCCTTCCTATTAAAATAAAGATTTGATATTTTCTTTTACTGCTTATTAGCTATAAAATGGTTTTATTTTATAAAGTTGTACTGTTCTATCATTGTTATATTTGATAGGTTTAATTATTAAAAGTGGTACAGGTAGTCCTCAGGTGATGACGGCAACTGGGTCCAGGATTGTCATCACTAAGTGATGTGGTTGTAAAGCACAATGTCACGTGACTGCATTGCTTCGTGACAGCAATCCAGACAGTCCCGGTTGCCATTGTAACCTTGAGACGTAGGGATCATTAAGCGTGAAGCTGTGGGAATCCCAGGTAAGGAGCAAGGGGGTGCTGCAGGGGGTGGGGGAGGCCCTGGGAGGCCCAGCGTAGGCCACATGCAAGTTGGGGGAGGGGGGCTGCAGTTCAGTGTGAGCATAGGGAGGTCAAGGGAAGAAGGGCGTGGGTCAGTGCAAGTGCAGGGAGGCTGAGGGAAGGAGGGCGCAGGTAGGTGCAAGCGCAAGGAGGCCGAGGGAAGGAGGGTGTGGTGCAGTGCATAGGAAGGCAGGGGGGGACTTACCAGAGCGACTTGCGACCTTCCATGCTGGCTTTCCCATTGACTTTGCTTGTGGGAAGCCGGCAGGGAAGATCGCAAATGGTGATCATGTGACTGTGGGATGCTGCAACTGTCATATGTGCGAATTGGTTGCCCACCGCCCGAACTGCAATCACATGACAGTGGGGCCACTGCGATGGCTGGAATTTCGAGGACCGGTTGTAAGTATCTCTTGTTCAGTGCCATTGCAATTACAAATGGTCGTAATTACGAATGAGTGGTCAGTAAGCAAGGACTACCTGCATATTCCTTTCTTCCCTTGGGCTTATGTAGAGAGTAAGGAAGATGATCTTGATGATAATATGCAGGAACTATTACTTAGGCAAAAGGGGCTGAAGCATTTTTTAAGCCCAGAGAAAGGAGAAAACATTCAGAAGCAACTCAGACACATCCGCCCTGATTCACTGGCGTAAAAGTGGGGAGGGGGCAGGTACAGCACAATCAGACTTGCAAGATTCTGTTATTATAACCAATCTCAATAAAAGTAGTTTTAGCCTTCCTGTGGAATTGATTTCCTGGTCTGGTCTACCTAGTAGGGCTGACAGCTAATCCAATGAAATCATTAAGTTTATTCTTGGGGAAGGGACATCACAGTATCACAAAGTTTCAGAACTCATGAATTATATTAAACTCCATTTACAGATGCAGGGATATAGAAAATACATAGCTGCATTTATTCCTAGGTAATAGATTTCCTATAGGAAACATGGCTGGGCACCGCTAGCAACAAGATGCTGGACAAAATGGACATAGCAGATTCTGTTCATCATCTCCCTCTTCCTTGACATTTTCACATATATAAAAGAAAGAGAAGGAAACAATGGATTTTCTTGTTGAATTGACTTTAAGCAAAATAAATCTCCTTATTCTAAACTAACATGGTATTAAATCTCACCCTGTGTAAATCATGGGATAAGAGCAAGAATTAGCAGAGTAAGTATTGCATAACATATCACAAACCTTAAATAGCATGTCTTAAAGACTTCAGGGGCAGAGAAGTGATGCTCCTTTATTAAACCTTAATCTGGAAGAAGTGAGGCTCCCAAACTAAGAGTTTTTCCTTTTGCTTCTTTGAAGCTTGTTTCAATGTTGTGCTAGTGCAAAAAAAGCACCACTGGGTCAGTGGAAGTTTTGTCACCCTTGGTAAAAGGTAAAGACTTCTTGAGTTGAGTTCAGCTCCTGATAACTACATGGGCACGTTCATGTTTTCTTGGCAATAATACAGAAATGTTCTGCCATTATTATTTTTCCAAGATGAATTCTGGGCTAGCCGATACACCTGGGATTCCCTGGGATTCTTCCATTGGTCAACATTGCTCAGCATTTTTCAAGATCACCACTGCTATGAAGTAAGTAACATGGGTCAATATCTAAGAAGGAAAATATAACTAATGTATAAAAACTGAATACTGTAACCATGAGAGGCATTAAAAAACATAGCACTATTTCATCAGAAATGGAGACCAACTATTTATGACTTAAAGAGCACTCCCAATCTGTTGTGCCACTACACTGCTGAAACATCAATGCCAGGTGGCATGTACCTTAAATATGTGACATTTTGGACATTTGTGTAACTATATGGCAACCATTTCCCTATAGCCACCCTTGTGACTAAGGCATCTGTGTTGCTTGTTGCTCGTAATGCTTTGCCAAGGAGCACTCCAGTTGGATAATGCACATTACATTTGTTCTTACTCTGCCTTTCCGCATCCTCCCAGCTGAGTGTCTCAGATTCTAACAACTGTACTACTCTACTCATGGCCCCTGAGCTTGACATGCTTTCATTCCTATCACTTCAAAGTCCCAACTGCCCTAATTTTTAAGTTGCAATTAACATAATTTCAGTGAGCGCAATTATTTATTTTTCCTTCAATCCACAAATATTTCTTTGTAAAGGCAAACAAGAATTATTTGATGTTCTATTTGTACTTTGTTACAAAAAAAGATTTCCCCCCAAACTTTTTGAAATACTCCCTGTGTGCCATTTAAGTTCATTGACATGCTACCTTGGGTTAGAAAAGATAGATTTTGGTCTAGTTCTGAGAAGGATAGATGATAGCAGCAAGTAATGAGTGTCAAAAAAAAAAGGAAGAGATTTTTTTCTGAGACAAATTAAGAGATATAAATCTACACCTTAGACAAGTATCTATCTGAGAAACTGCCATGGTTTATACCAGCAGTCTTTTACATATTTAACTTTCATTTTCCTATAATTAATTTTTGCACATTTCTATGTCTATGGTTTTCTCCTCTTGGAACTGAAGTTAGTATATAGCTATACAGGTACTTCATGAATACTGAAATTATCTCTATATACCCAGGCACCCATATCATTTTATGGGAGATACCACACAACATTTTCCGTGAGGAGCATATGTATGCATACATGTGGCCTCTCTGCCTGCACTAATCAAGGTGGGTGGGGAGTGGAGAGAACAAAGAAATAATTGAGTTCAATAACTGAGTAGCCAGATAAATTGGTGCACAGATGGAAATGCTTATGAAAAGAAACATGATTTCAAGGAGGTGTTGCTCTGCTCCAAAACTGTTTGAGTAATAGATAAAGGAACCTTGTGGTCTCATTAGCTTCCCTGAATCTACTGATTATTATTATATAATATATTTTGTGTCCAGAAGAGCAGAAGCTTACCTCATATATATCTTTCATCCAGTGTGCAATTCCTTGAAAGCTTTTTGCATTTGTGATATCATAAACAAGAACAAATCCATGTGCTCCTCGGAAAAAACCAGTAGTAAATGTATGAAATCTTTCCTGGCCAGCAGTGTCCCTAAAATGCATTATAATAAATAATTTAGTGCTACTTTTCACTGCAAAACTGTGGACAAAGAGCCACCACACACTCAGTGTAATTCTCTATGAACATAAAAGTAGAAGCACTGCTGACTAGTGGAAATTCTAATTGATCCAGTTGCTTTTCCTTTGACATTTATCTCAGCACTTCTACACTAGAGATTTGTTCCAGAGCAGATGCTTTGCAAAACGGAAACTGTGGGTATAGATAATATTCTTACTCTTAATCTGAAGCCTTGCCCTATGAAGGAACAGGGCAGATTTTTCTCTTCACCCAGTTTATGGCCTACTTTGCATATTCTAGAGCCAGTCTAGTGTAGTGGTTAAGGCACCAGGCTAGAAACTGGGAGACAGTGAATTCTAGTCCCACCTGAGGCATAAAGCCAGCTGGGTAACCTTGGGCCAGTCACTCTTTCTTAGCCCTAGGAAGGAGGCAATAGCAAACCACTCCCAAAATCTTACCAAGAAAATTGCAGGGACTTATCTAGGCAGTTGCCAGGAGTCAACATTGACTGAAAGGCACAATCAATCAATCAATCTGCATATACTGCTAGGCATGTAAATATATACATCTTGATGTATACAGTACAGTACATCAAGAATATCTCTATATTCAAAGAGGACATGGTTTAAATGTAAATGGTTGTTAAGGAAAAGATGTTGGCCCTATAAGGTAGACCAGACTAAGAAACAGACATTATGTAGCCCTGAATCTACTTTTATTAGAACTCTAGTTACTAGCTATAGTAACAGAATCTTGCAAGTCTGAATGTGCTCCCCTCCTCCCTCTTTTATGTTTATGTGAATGGGGGTTGGGGCTGTCTGAAATGTTTCCATAAACCTCTTTCTTGGTCTGGCCTCAAGCCACATTTATCTGTAGATCTTCCCTCTGTTCATCAAGGGCATCTTTTATATTCTGTACAGAATGTGGCTGCCATGTGAAGCCCCCAAACATTCTTAGATATAAGATGATGCCAGAGACTGGTTGTGTGTGTGTGTGAGATGCCAGAGTTCTACATGAAATTGTTTTTTTAATGTTTAAAAATTAAGGAATTCAGATGTGGTGGAGGATCTGGCAGACACCAATAGAGGTGTTCACAAGAACATTTGGTGCCTACTATAACATTAGCAACATTAATCCATTGGACAGCATGCATTTGGAAACAACAACATGTTCACTAATTTTTGTCTCTACTAAAGATTATTGACGATCAAGTCTTAGAAGACTAAAACCAGATACTAACTACATTCCTTACAAAACTTACCATATTTGAAGTTTCATAGTTGTATTATCACATGAAATTGTTTTCACTTTGAAATCAATGCCTAAGAAGGAAAACACAGACCTATTAATGTAACTATTAATAAGAAAACAAATCAAAAGACAGTAGCTGAATGAAAAAAATTAATCTTATCAAGCAGAGTAGACAGTAAAAGAACAATTTTCATATAATCAGAAACTCCACAACTGTATTTTCCCATTGAGAAATCATCTCTTCAGAAACATTCTGCAGCACACTATAACTGAATTAAATGATCTTTTTGCATTTAATGCATATTTAGATGTATGGTTTAGTTTAAGTTCAACAAGTGATCATTTTATTAACACTTCAGTTCCAGAAAGACAAATAAAAAACTAAAAATTATTACTTAAGCCCAATACATTGATATTTCTGCACAATATTATCTATAAAAAAATAAGAATAAAGTATTCCCTCATTGTATGGCGCCAGCTGTACAATTTAATGTTTGAATTCTTTCTGTGCAATAGCTGAGGCAGCATCTGAAAGGGGCACAATATGTGGTGAAAACAGGAAGGTCACTTTCAAAACACTGAGCTGGAAATGCCTAAAAATAATAACTCAACGGGGGATTTCCAGTCCTACAGAAAACATTTTATATTTGACATAAATTTTAATAATAAATTGACAGAAGCATTTTTATTTATAAAAAGACAACTAAAGAGTGCTGAATCAGACAAAAATTTAATCTAAATTAAAATAAGGCATATTGACTTCTTAAATCAACTTTACATGTATTGACCTAAAAGGTCAATGAATGTTAGTGAAAAATAGAAGTCAATAAGCATTGCATGCATGAGTTATTCATAGCTTTATATAAAATTTCAAACAAATTTCACAAATGGACAAGGTTGATGTGGGGGAAGAGAGAAAGAAATAGATCACCAATTGTACCACCAATAGTATTAAGCAATCCTATGGCTTATCTATAAAAAAGGTAAACTCATCATACTGTCTCTGCCTTAATTTTCATCCTGCCTTCTTAATATTATTATAAAAACAGTACACAATGATCCAAATCTAATTCTAAGAGGCACACTTAGATGTCAACTATCTTATCCCTTCCAGTCTGGATGAATTATCAAGTACGACTGAGAGCTTTAAAAAGAAAAATAACTGGCACAGTGTATCCCCGCTTCTAAGCAAAATGTTCCTTTCCAGAATACTGAGTAGCTACTAAACTGGAGATGAAACTTCAAGTTCACTTCAGAAAATTCAAGAGGGCTATTCCAGTCCATCTCCACATATTTTGCTTGTCTTTTTTAAGCTAAGTCAGTCAAGATTCCACAGATAACTTTCATGCTAAAACAGGCCTTTAAAAAAAAGATGGGATTTTCTTATATATGTTGGTAAATATACACAGTTTTCTATACACTTCAGGTTCTCCCAAGGATATTGATGCATCTCTTATTCCTCCATGGCCCTACTTTGGCTCCAAATCCTGTTTGAACCCACTGAGTTTGCTGTTAAACAGAAGTTATATTTAACCTCCTGTCTTTTTATCTGTTCTTCTCCCTTTTCTTGCTTATCAACTTTTGGGTGGAAGTGTTCCAGCTTCTGGAGAGAAGGAAATACCGTACCATTGCTATAACAGCTGAAAAAATTACTGTACTCTATGCTAGGGTATATTTTCTGCAGGTTCAGACAACATCAGTTCTTCTGCTTCCTGCTCCACTTGGCTATTTGCAAATAAAGAGGCAACTCTTACGAGGTTTAAGAATGGGATAAGATAACTCTAAGTGAGGATGGAACAATGGAAAGGAATTGAGTTCACAGAGGCTTTTTTTATTCTAGCATTGTGTGCCTGACCAATATATTCCTAATACAAATCAGTACTGTATGTACAAAACTGGATTTCTTTACTTATACCTATGTGTGCAAAATGATTTTATATTTCCTTGCATACCAGTGTTGCATATATGAATGAAGAGAATGAATGGGTGATGTGTGAACTTGCACAACAGTATCTAATATAATTATATTCAACACACAATGCTGAAAGACAGCAGAGATTGTTTTTCCCCCTTGCTATGTTCTTTTCCAGGCAGACCAAGAGGGGCAACAAGGCCATGCTGTAAGTCACAGAGACTACCTAACTAGATGCTTCTCCTTTTATACTTTGACAGTCACAAAAAGCTACCCATCGAGTTAGTCACTTTCAAATCCAGAACAGTATTTATGCAGATTGCACAAACTGATCCTCACAACAGATCTTACTGATTTGGGAGCCTATCAGCATATGATCCTCTCAGAGCTGTGAGGACATGTCTGTATTTGCTCCATACTATCAAATCACAATTGGATTTAAAGCAGGAACTGGCCAGATCAAGAGGTATCACATAGTACCTGTGAAAGGACCCAAGAAAACAGATACACCACAATTTGATCAGTAGACTTGAGATCCTTCATCTCAGATTTATGGACATTTTTCAGTTTTGCAATTGTTCACTATAAATAACTAGTAACAGATCATGTACAATTATTCACTGTATGGACTGTTGAAAGCAAATTAGGTCAAAAAATTGAGGGAAGTGCATTATTATCTTCCTTAATGCCAGCAGATTATCTTGATTCCATGTATACCTCACCTACTGCAGAAACCTCTACTACAGTCATGGTTTTATAAATTATAATTGTCTACATTCAAACTATACATGATTTACAAATCTAGATGGGAGGCTATCTATGTGATATATGTGTGTATATGTATATGGGGGGTGGAAGGAAGGAAGGAAGGCAGAATGGAACTCTTGCCTTTTTATATATTAGCAAAGACTCTATCAATGAGCAAAAAAATTGCTTCTACTTTGAGAGCAAAGATGAAAGAAAGGATCCTGCTGGCCTGTAATTTCTCTGCAGAAGATAAGTCTTGCTTCTAAAGAGTTCTAAAAACTTAGTACTTCCTTGTATATACTTCTCATTGTGCTATTACAATATTCATTGCAAGAAAATATGTCATAGAATAGTTCAAAAATTTATTTGGCGAAGCAGCTCCATGTTCACTTGGACATGCAAATCTTTCTTCCCATAAACTTTTTCCCTGGTGTTCAATGAGGTGCCATTGTTTAAACAAAAAACAGTTATTCTTTATAGTCTGCTATTCTCAATGTGATGAGTCTGCCTTATGATCCGTATAAGTTTAATTAGAAAACTATAGCTGCTTATAATTCACAAAAACTGCATAATTGAAGAGGAAGAAGGGCAACCATCCCTGAGAGTTTAAGTGCTGAATAAAGTGCTTTCAGTGAAAATTTACTGTGAATGCTTTTTTTGTTTTTTTAAGGAAAGCAAATCTTGAACAACTAAACGCTACTATCCACAGCTGCAACCCTCCAATATTGCTAGCAAATTAGCAACATGCAATTATAATTCTGGAATTGTGAGCAGGAGCTGAAGTGCCCCAAACTATGAGAAACAAGCATTTAAGCACCAAGAAATGACATTTTATCATATTATCCGACTCACTCTGTATTCCTTTGTCTCTAAGCAGTGTGGGGGACTCCCTTTCAGAGAGGAAATTCTAGGGGGAGATGAGAGAGGACTTTGGAATAAAAAGAATTGATGCCTCCTATTGAGATCTGTTGTGACTTTTCTCATAGATATAGGGTTACTTTTTTAAAATCAACACTGAGCACTTGCTACAAAGTTGTGTGGTATTCATAAGACTGCACAACTGTAATATATTTTCAAATTGTAATTAGTCAGGGGAAAACAGAACACTAACTAGGCACAAATAACTCCTTTTATCTTTCAACAGTTCAAATCTATAGAAAAGCAAAAACTCTGCATCAGCCCAGCTACACAACTGGATAGTTAGTTGTTTGTGTATGATAGATGGCATCCGAATAGCACTCCACCCTCTGGGGTAATATCCAGTTCAAGTATTGCAATTTTACAGCTGCCCCGCCTACTGCCAGTACCTTCCCATTCCTAAGAGATCCTCCACATGATCTACTGACCACGGGCAGGCAATACTTCAGCAGTCACATTGAGAGAGCTTCAACGATGATGCCACCCTCAGTGTGGAGGCAACCTGCAATCATGCTTTCCCACTTCAAACATCCTCTGTCTTGCCCGGGCCTGAACCTCTTTCTGCAGCCTCCCAGCTGCACTTTAATTTGGACTTGGCAATGTCTGAGCTCCGACCGATCACTGGATGGATCTGCCAGCATGCCCCCTTTTCTCTGGTTAGTGGTTGCTGCCATTAACAGCCATTTGCAGGATGTCCATCTAAGAAACAGAACATTCCCACTTAAAGCCTGAACCCCACTATGCTTCATCCTCGGGCATTATGTGGCTTCCTTCTATACCTCTAATAAGTGGTGTTCTGAAACACCACACATTCAACCACTGTTGCAACAGTTGGAGGCAGCAGTAGCAGGCCAGAAAGAACCATTGGCCCTTGGGACTCCCTCCTGCTCTCTACCCCAGTGATGGACTACTGAAATGTTACATCTTTAAAAAAAAAAAATAATAACATGTTCACTGGTAGATCAGTATTTTTTCCCCCTAAAAAACAGGTTCACTGGTGGGCCACTGAAATGGAGGGCCTTCCTACCCTCACTCCCTTTTTAAAAAGAAATTAAAGAGAAATTGACAAGAGTTTTACCACTTTCCCTTTCTAGCTGAACTCACAGTAAGAACAGTAAAACGACGTTCCACTGATGGATGCACCAAACCAGAAGGTGTCAAGTACCAGGGAGAGTTAATGGAAGAGGGCTCATACAAAAGTTCTGACAATAGAAACCACATGTCTTCAAACTGGCACTTGCTTTCCTAGCATGGATAGGAAAGAAAGGTGGGTAAAGAAGCAGGGAAATACACCAGTGGGTGGATATGGTAACCACCACTAGTCCAAATCATTGTCAAAGCTGAAGAACGGGTTGAAATCTTGGCAACTATTTTTTAAGCCAGGTTCATTTCCAGCCGGCTTCACCATGGGGGGCAGTATCTTAAGGCTGCTGTGCAGGAGAGTCCTGAGACTGGCAACCACTGTCCATTTTTCAGACAGGGAGCATAACAGCA